GTGGGCCCTAAAACGGTCCTAGTGAAGGACCTGCTCTGATACCATATCAAGATAGTAAGGACAGTGAGAAGCCACAGCTAGGGTTGACCTAGCTAGGCAAGCAAGAAATGAACAAAGGAATGATTGAACTAACAGAGAAATCAGTACAAATAGCAAACCCTAGAATTGTGTACCCCATACAGGCTAACCCACTGTAGCCTAACCAAACACAACATATACAATGTTCGACAATTACATCTGTTTTGCACAACACGTAGTCGTGTAGAGCTTTGGTTGAGTTGGGCCTTGATATAAGAGGTTAGACTGGAGTTGCATGCCAATGTTTATTTGCCATTCGTTCTATTCTTATTTCTTTCTATTGCATTGTATAATTTCCTCGGTTTTTCGCACGCTTCCATTACTTCTTCCAATCTGTTCACCTCACATTCTCTTCATAGTATGTTTGTTTCCGGTTCCGTCTTATCTTTCTTCCTTGAACCTGCTTTTTTGTTTGTTTGTTTTTCCCTCTCGTTTCGTTTTATATTCTGACACCCTTCTCCTATCTCGGTTGTTTCTCTCGCCTACGTAAATCGTAAATGTTGTTTCTTCATAAGTTTTTCTGTTGTTCTTCTTAAGATTTGTTATTTCGTTTTAATTCCGTTTCCTTCCTTAAATGCATGTTCTGTAACTTATGTCATTCTTTGCCTTCCCCCCCCTTTCATCACATGCTTGTTGTTTTCCCACATTTCCTAATTTTCAGAGGGTTTGCTATACCATTCAGGAATTGAGGGTCCTTTTCAAAAGGGGAACGATCACATTTGTGACGACTAGGCTAATTGTGTTGTATTGTTTGATAGTTAACTTTTGCATCTTCTGTTTTTTTTTTTTTTTTTTTTTCTTCGTAAGTTCCTTATGCATTGGTTTGTTCTTCGTAAGGATGCAGCTGTGAAGGAGAAAACGATGATGCTGAATGTGGCAAGCGTTGCAGCTGATGGAACCAGGGTGATGAGGGAACCCGAGGTGAAGCGTAGCTTGGAGGAAGCAGACACGACCTTGGGTGGTAATGATGCTACCTTTGTGAAGCTACAAGCAGCTGATGCCATGGGAGATAAAAGTGTGGGGAGGGATAAGACAGCCTTCCCTAAAACTGGCGTTCGGATCGGCAATGTGGCGAAGCCGGTCGACAGTGAGAAGCTGAGTGATGGAGCTGAATAGCCGTCAGGTTGAGGGGAGTTTGTTGGGTGCAAAATGTATTTTGCACGTCAACCTGTCGCCTATTCGTCGAGCAAGGCGAAATTTGAAGGTGTTTGTTTTAGGGTAATTTGTGTGATGTGGAATGTGCATTTGTGCACTGATCATTTTGGCGTTTACGGTTTGTGATTCGCCTTAACGGTTCTTAAGTTATGTGCATTTGAGTGTGAGGTTACATTCACGTGTTTTCATGATTGTTCGTGTGTGTTTCGTGTTGTTCGTGTTACGCCATGAATGTGCGTGAAGTTCTGGGTGTTCCGAAGGTTCATGGTCATTCGCGTGTTCATGAATGTTTGCGTGCTGAACGCGCGAGCGTCCATGTTTGTTCATGTGCGCTCATGTTTGCTCATGATTGTTTATGTTTCTTTCATGGTTGTTCATGCGTTTTTCATGAGCACTGGTTGTGAATGTCGAGGGAGTTTGGTGTGGGGCTCGATAGTTTGACCAGCCCCTTTGACCAGTTTCGAGCTGGTCAAAAAAGCGCGCGACTGTCAGGACCCGCGCGTGTGGTTCTGACATGCGCGTGCGGGTCCTCAGGCCCACGCGTATGGCTGGGTTTTGTTGCGCGAGGGCACAAGGCCAATGATTGCAACGAGACAACGCACGTTCGCGTGCTGTACAGCACGACCGAAATATCGGTCGTGCATGATTGCGCTTTTGAGGGGTGCGCGTGTGTTTCGGGGGGTGCTTCGGGATTGACTCGAGATTTCAGTTATGTAACTGAATCTCGAGCCTTGTCTTTTGTGACGTGGCACAAGGACATTTCGCCAGAAGCTGCGCATTTAAATGTGACGGTTTCATTACTGGTACAAAACGGTGAAAAACCGTTTTCCAACTGTACGGTGTGGGGAAACGGAATTTCCACACGAGCATTCATGATTCTACACAGGAATTCATGATCGTTCACGAGAGTCGTCAGCAGAGGCGTTTGGCAGACATGGAAATTCAAGACGGTTATTTCAAGGATCCAGATCAAGCCAAATGCAACAGAAGTTTAGAAACTGTTTTTCCAGACAGCAAGGCGAAGTCCTAGGAATGTGCTTAATCCTCCGTTTGCTATTTTCCTTTGCATGTGTGTTAGGCGAAATATAAAATGTGTGCTTGCGTTTGATTGTATCAACTCTTTGTGAATGAAAATTGCTGTATCGACGTATTGACGCAAGGAGCTTTTCTGCACACGCACCTACCGTTCGTCAACGCTGCGCAATTGAGCTTGGGAATGCTCTTAGTGCACACGACTGTTTTACACTTAGAGAAATCCCTCTACAAACACGGACCCTTGGCTAGGGGCTGGCGTTGCCAGGCACCCGAGGACCCTTGGAGGTGACCCCGTGGGGACTATCTAGTGTGTATTAAAGGTGTGCTTAAGAGTTTCTAGATCCCAATAGTAGTCAACAAGTGGTATCAGAGCTGGTTCTTGGTCCGTGTGGACGTATTGCCGTTAGAACGCCATGGCGCCGGGCGACAATGAAGGATCTACTGCACGAGCAGAAAGTGGAGTCCAAGATACGGGTGGCTCAGCACCAAGGGGAGTGCGTGCCAGCTCGGGCTCACTGCTGAAGAAGGTGCTTAAGAACTTCGTCGTCGACAAGTTCAACGGCAACAACTACGACGATTGGGCGTGGAAGATGCAGTTGTATTTTCGGCAAGTTGGCTTGTTGAAGCTGATGACGGGCGAGGAGAAGAGGCCGGACGACGCTAACCTGCAAGCATAATACAGTTTAACATGAGGCTCTGCTCTCTCTTTGGTAGACGCCTTCTCATTTCCCCTACTCCCTTGCACGTGGAAGAACTGTCCAGGAGCGCGTTCCCATCCGTGTTCCCCTTCCATTGCGATCTCTGCTACGTAGCCGACGTCGTGACCTTGGTTCTTCGCGTCGTCCTCGTGCTCGGGAGTCCACCACTTGGGCCGCTTCCAGCACTTCACCCAAGTATGTCCCGGCTTCTTGCAATACCAGCAGGTGCCCTTAAATCCGCGGTAGCCACGATCATCATCCGCGTCATCAGCTTCTTCCTCACCACTTTTGCTGCTCGACTTCTTGTCGCCGCGACCGTTGTCATACTGCCGACGTTCACCATGTCCCCGCTCACTTCCTTTACGCCAACGGCTTCCTTGTACTGCATACCCGCCGTCTCCATCGTGACCGTGACTCAGCTGCCTTCTCCTAAAGTCCTCCTCGAGGATCTTAGTCCTGACCCACTCCAACGTCCATGATTCCTGGTGTTGGGGAAGACTAAGCCCGCTTTCGAACGGCAGCCAAGACTCGGGCAACATTGATAGCATACGTAGGCACTTTGTCTTTTCCGGGTAAGTGACGCCCGCAATCTGCAACTTTGCGTACAACTCCCGCATCTTGTCAAGCACCGGTTGAATCGGCTCCCCCTCACTCAAACGCAATGCCGCCAATTCACGCTCCAGCATGAGCGTTGCGACCACCGAGGTTGGCGCATGTAGCTCCTTTAACGTTTTCCAAGCTCGTGGCCCGCAATCCTCCTTTTCCAGCAGATGCATCACGTGCGATCTCTGGTTCAATCATTCTTGCCTAGCTATTCTGAAATGGTATTCAGAGCAGGAGGTCCCTAGGACCTACCGACCGTTTTTTTTTTAAGGGCCCACCACCGCTCGCATGCGGTTACCACGCTACCCCGTGCCCTAGCCTCGTAGCGCCCTCGTGCGCCCTCGTTAGCGCCCTCGCGCGCCCCTCGTTAGCGCCCTCGCGCGCACCCTCGTTAGCGCCCTCGCGCGCCCCTCGTTAGCGCCCTCGCGCGCCCCTTACTAGCGCCCTCGCGCGCCCCTCACTAGCGCCCTCGCGCGCCCCTCGCAGTGTCGCCCGCCCGCCGAGCCGCCCGCTCGCAGCCCGCTCGTCCTGCTGCCCGCTTCGCAGCCCGCCCGCCCGCTCGCTGCCCGCTTCGCGGCCCGCCCGCCACGCAGCCCGCCGCCCGCTCGCTGCCCGCTTCGCGGCCCGCCCGCTTCGCAGCCCGCTCGCTCGCTGCCCGCTCCGCGGCCCGCCCGCTTCGCAGCCCGCTCGCCCGCTCGCTGCCCGCTTCGCAGCCCGCTCGCTCGCTGCCCGCTTCGCGGCCCGCCCGCTTCGCAGCCCGCCCGCCCGCCCGCTGCCCGCTTCGCGGCCCGCCCGCCTCGCAGCCCGCTCGCCCCGCTGCCCGCTTCGCGGCCCGCCCACTTCGCAGCCCGCCCGCCCGCTCGCTGCCCGCTTCGCGGCCCGCCCGCTTCGCAGCCCGCTCGCCCCGCTGCCCGCTTCGCAGCCCGCCCGCCCGCTCGCTGCCCGCTTCGCGGCCCGCCCGCTTCGCTGCCCGCTCGCAGCGCCGCCCGCCCGCCCGCTACCTGCTTCGCAGCGCCGCCCGCTGCCTCACTGCCCGCTTGCTGCGTCCCCTCTGCTGCTGCCGCTGCTCTGCTGTGCCCTCACGCCTGAGCTATGGCCTCTATTCGCGTTCTTTCCTTCGATGCTGAGGGCCGTCCCGTGCAGTTCACTTCCTGGCTCGACGACCTGCAGTTGTATCTTATGAGCAATAGCACGGACCACATCTCCCTCTATGACTACGCGTCTGGTGCTGCCGCTGCTCCTGCTGCCACAGCCGAGCTTAGTGTTCGTTCCCACTGGCAGACTCGTGACGCAGCTGCTCGCCTAGCCATTCGTAGTCACCTGCCGCTAGCTGAGCTCGAGCATTTTGGCGACTGCAAATCCGCTAAGGCCCTGTACGATGCTGTCGTTGCTCGCTACTCCTCGCCTGCCACAGCCGAGCTTAGCCGCCTCATGCTGCCGTACCTGTTCCCCGATCTGTCCACCTTTACTACAGTCGCCGATCTTATCACCCACCTTCGCACTAGTGATGCTCGCCTGCGTGCCGCCCTTCCCACCGAGTTCTGCGCTAAGAACCCCCCTCCACTGTACTGGACACTCCACTTCATAGTCACCCGTCTCCCTGACACCCTCCGCTCAGTTCGAGACCACTTCCTTGCTCGCTGTCCCACTGAGCTCACAGTCGCCCTCCTAGAGGAGCAGCTGCTCGCGGCCGAAAAGAGCATTGTAGCTGTTGGTGCTGCTCGTGGCGCTCCTCGCACCCCCATCTTTGAGGGGTGTTCTCCCTCTCCCCTCGCTCCCTCCTACGCTGCTGCTGCTGCTGCTGTTGACTTCCTTGGTGCTGAGTCTGTTGGCGCTGCTTCTGCTCCTGGTGGGAGGCGCCGCACCGGCAAGGGCAAGGGGGGCAAGGGTGGTGGTGGTGGCGCTGGGGGGGGAGGAGGTGGGGGAGGTGGGGGGGGAGGCGGTGCTGGAGGGAGCGGTGGCGGGAGCGCTGGTGGGAGTGGGGTCGGTGGTGGAGGCGGGGGCGGCGGCGGAAGCAGTGGCAGTAGTGGCGGCGGCGGCGGTGGCGGCGGTGGCGGTGGTGGCGGTGGTGGCGGTGGTGGCGGTGGCGGTCGGAGCGGTGGTAGTGGTGGCGGCGGCGGTCGGAGTGGAGGCACTGGCTCGGGCCAGAGCTCCCAGCAGCAGCAGCGTCCCCAGACGACCCAGCAGCTTCGTGAGTGGCTTGCTCAGCGTGGGACGTCGGGGGGCAGTGGCCGCTGTTCTTATGTCATTCGCACAGGTGACCGCAAGGGACAGACGTGTGGGAGGTTCCACACCCCGTACCGCTGCTTCTCCCGCCTTGACGACGCTTGGCGTGAGGAGATGGGCGCGGATGTTGAGCGCCCCCGCTGGGCTGAGCTCATGAGGGCTGGTGTTGATGTCTTTGCTCTTGACTATGATGCTATTATTGCTGCCATGTATGCATTGACTGTTAGTGCCGAGGGAGACTGTTACTTGTGTGTGCCGCCTGACCCAGGTATAGAGCCCGCTGCCCTGGGTACTAGTGAGTCTGCTCTCTCTGGTATGGTGCCCCCTGTACTTGCTCCCCCCAGTGCTGTCCTGGCTGGTTTCGAGTCTGCTCTCTCAGGTACAGCACCCACAGAGACTGCTCTCTCAGGTACCGCACCGGCTGAGGCCTGTCACACCTTCACCCTTGACTCAGGTGCTTCCCGTTGCTTCTTTCGTGACAGTACTGAGCTCACACCGCTTCCTGCACCGGTCCCAGTCTCCTTGGCTGACCCCTCTGGGGGCCCAGTCCTTGCCCAGTCCACCACTGTCCTCCCTTGTCCGGCGGTTCCGTCTGGCTCGTTGTCGGGTTTCCACCTCCCCTCGTTCTCGACGAACCTGGTGAGCAACGCTGTCCTCCAGGATCAGTGGGTTGACACCTTTACCCCTGGCGGACAGCGTGTGGCGATCTGCACGTGCTCCAGGACCGGCCGTCACCTGGCTACGTTTACCCGTCGGCCGGGGTCGAGTCTCTACACACTGACCACTGCGTCTCCTCAGGTCGCTGCTATCGGTCAGGTGTCTGCGTCAGGTCTGGTAGCCCACGCCTGTGAGTGTCGTTCCCTGTCGCACCAGACTCTTCTCTGGCACCACCGCCTGGGTCACCCCTCCTTGCCACGCCTTCGTGGCATGCACCGTCGCCACCTTGTGTCTGGTCTTCCCAGGTCCCTCCCTCCCCTCCCTGCCTCGCCTGCGCCGCCTTGCCTTCCTTGCGTCGAGGGGCGGCAGCGCGCCGCTCCTCACTCCTCCTCGTTCCCCCCGACAGAGGCTCCTCTGCAGACCCTCCACCTGGACGTGTGGGGCCCAGCCCGCGTTCGTGGTCAGGGCGGTGAGCGGTACTTTTTGCTGGTTGTCGACGACTACTCGCGTTACACCACGGTCTTCCCCTTGCGCACCAAGGGTGAGGTCCCTGCTGTTCTGATCCCTTGGATCCGCACGGTTCGTCTCCAGCTCCGCCGCCGTTTCCGGACGGATCTTCCTGTCCTGCGTCTGCACTCTGACAGAGGTGGTGAGTTTTCCTCCGATCTCTTGAGGACCTTCTGTCAGGCGGAGGGCATCGAGCAGACCTTCACGCTTCCGGACTCCCCACAGCAGAATGGGGTTGCTGAGCGCCGCATTGGCCTGGTCATGGAGGTCGCTCGTACCTCCTTGGTCCACGCGGCGGCTCCCCATTTTCTGTGGCCGTTTGCTGTCCGGTACGCCGCGCATCAGCTCAACCTCTGGCCCCGTGTCTCCTTGCCGGAGACCTCGCCCACACTGCGTTGGACGGGAGAGGTTGGCGATGCGTCGCGCTTCCGGGTGTGGGGTGCTCGTGCCCTTGTCCGCGATACGTCCGCGGACAAGCTCTCCTCCCGCACGCTTCCCTGTGTCTTCCTTGGCTTTGTCCCTGACGCGCCTGGCTGGCAGTTTTACCACCCCACCTCGCGCCGGGTCTTCGCCTCTCAGGATGTCACCTTTGACGAGTCGGTCCCTTTTTACCGTCTACTCTTCTCGGGTCCCTACTCCTCTCAGTGGCAGACAGCCATGGACGCAGAGATGGCATCCTGGAAGTCCACAGGCACCTACATCGACGAGGTTCCCCCTCCTGGGGCGAACATCGTCGATGGCATGTGGATTTTCAGGGTGAAGCGGCCGCCAGGTTCTCCGCCTGTCTTCAAGGCTCGTTACGTTGCTAGAGGCTTCAGTCAGCGTCAGGGGGTCGACTTCTTCCAGACCTTCTCCCCCACCCCGAAGATGACCACTCTTCGGGTTCTGCTGCACGTTGCTGCTCAGCGTGACTACGAGCTTCACTCTCTTGACTTCAGCACAGCGTTCCTGCAGGGCAGCCTGCACGAGGAGATCTGGCTGCGCCGCCCACCTGGCTTTACTGGGTCGTTTCCTCCTGGTACCCAGTGGAGCCTCCGCCGGCCAGTCTACGGTCTCCGCCAGGCGCCACGCGAGTGGCACGACACACTGAGGACTACACTTGCGGCTCTTGGGTTCGCGCCGTCTACTGCTGACCCGTCGCTGTTTCTGCGCACAGACACGTCGCTGCCGCCGTTCTACATTCTCGTGTACGTCGACGACTTGGTCTTTGCTACTGCTGACACTGAGGCACTCGCTCGTGTGAAGTCGGAGCTGCAGAAGAGACACACCTGCACTGACCTGGGTGAGCTGCGTAGCTACCTTGGCTTGCAGATCACCCGGGACAGAGCTCGCCGCACCATCACCCTGACTCAGTCACACATGGTGCAGCAGGTCCTTCAGCGCTTCGGCTTCCAGTTCTCCTCACCACAGGCCACACCTCTGGCTACCAGCCACTCGCTCTCAGCTCCACCTCCGGACGAGTCCGTAGAGCCGAGTGGCCCGTACCCAGAGCTTGTGGGCTGCCTCATGTACCTGATGACTTGCACGCGACCTGACCTCGCGTACCCTCTTAGCATCCTTGCTCGTTACGTTGCGCCTGGGAGACACAGGCGAGAGCACTGGGAGGCTGCTAAGAGGGTGCTGCGCTACTTGTGCAGTACATCAGGCATGGGGCTGGTGCTTGGAGGACACGACAGAGTTGTCCTCACTGGCCACTCGGACGCTTCTTGGGTGGACGACCTGGCTACGCAGCGGTCGTCACAGGGTTACACCTTCAGCCTTGGCTCTGGTTCTGTCTCGTGGCGGTCCACCCGCTCTTCCTCTGTTCTCGGCTCTAGTTGTGAGGCTGAGATCTACGCCACAGCCATGGCTGCACATGAGTTACGCTGGCTCACCTACCTGCTGACTGACTTGGGAGAGCGGCCTAGTTCTCCTCCAGTTCTGTACGGTGACAACAAGGCGGCTCTTGCCTTGTGTCAGGAGCACAGACTGGAGCACAGGACGAAGCACATTGCTCTTCGCTACTTTCTTGCTCGAGAGCTTCAGCAGCGCGGTCAGCTTCGGCTTGTGTACGTGGACTCGAAGGCCAACACTGCTGATATCTTCACCAAGGCGCTCCCGCCTAGTGATCATCAGCGGCACTGTACTTCTTTAGGCCTTGTGTCCACGTTTCCTCACTTGCTCACTGCTTGACATTCTTTGTACTGTACTTTATATATATCTTGTTGCTTGCTTGCTAGGTTTTTGATCACTGTGTTGCTTGTCTTGTACTATATCTAGCACTGCATGTGAACTGGCCTTGTGGCCTTTACTTGTGCTCGGAGTGTGGTGACGTTGTGATCCACCCTGGGCTTTGCTTTGCTTTGCTTTGCTGGACTGGTCTTGTGACCCTTTGTTCTCCCCCACTTTGCCTATGGGGGTGTGTTAAACTGTATTATGCTTGTAGGCTGTAGTGGGGTAGCCAATATGGGGTACAACCCCAACTAGGGTTTCATATTTGTACCCAAACTTCTGCTAGTTCAATCATTCTTGCCTAGCTATTCTGAAACCTCATCCCCTCAACACATGGATACTAGACTCCGGAGCAGCGCATCACATGACCCCGAGGGCGGACCTGCTAGACAAAGTTGGTGTGACGAGCATCACTGAAATGAATTCCGGATGCGGACACAAGATGAAAGTGTTGGGCGTCGGCAAAGCAGCCTTCAAGGGAGCTGATGGGAAGCCGATTGTCCTAGAAGATGTGCTTTTGGTGCCAGAGCTGAAAGGGAATCTGATTTCCCTAAGGAAAATGGGGCTTGCAGGCGTGTGTACAGCAACTAATGGAGCTGAAACCTTCAAGGGACAGCTCGGTGATCGTGTGTTGTGGGACCTGCACGAGGAAAAAGACCTGCATGACGAGTTGTGGCGTGTACCAGTGGTGCCATTGCGTGAGGTGGCACCTGCAGAGGTGAACGGTGTTTGCAGCTGCAAGGGGGAGTGTGCTGCAGTAGCTGCTGAAAAGATTAAAGAGCTGAAATCAACGGTGGAGATGCTGGTACAGCAGATGAAGCTGATGAAAGTTCGACTTGTAGCGGCTGAAAAGCGGAATGCTTCCCATGCTGATGAAGAGAAGGGTGCGGAAGCCAGGAGGAGCAAGGTCATTGCCGCTGCTGTGGCTAAGGGGAAGGGAGTTCACAAGAGTGACACTCATGAGCAGCAGAAATGTGAGGTCTCGGTGGAGCTGAAGGATGCAGCTGTGAAGGAGAAAACGATGATGCTGAATGTGGCAAGCGTTGCAGCTGATGGAACCAGGGTGATGAGGGAACCCGAGGTGAAGCGTAGCTTGGAGGAAGCAGATACGACCTTGGGTGGTAATGATGTTACCTTTGTGAAGCTACAAGCAGCTGATGCCATGGGAGATAAAAGTGTGGGGAGGGATAAGACAGCCTTCCCTAAAACTGGCGGTGGGATCGGCAATGTGGCGAAGCCGGTCGACAGTGAGAAGCTGAGTGATGGAGCTGAATAGCCGTCAGGTTGAGGGGGAGTTTGTTGGGTGCAAAATGTATTTTGCACGTCAACCTGTCGCCTATTCGTCGAGCAAGGCGAAATTTGAAGGTGTTTGTTTTAGGGTAATTTGTGTGATGTGGAATGTGCATTTGTGCACTGATCATTTTGGCGTTTACGGTTTGTGATTCGCCTTAACGGTTCTTAAGTTATGTGCATTTGAGTGTGAGGTTACATTCACGTGTTTTCATGATTGTTCGTGTGTGTTTCGTGTTGTTCGTGTTACGCCATGAATGTGCGTGAAGTTCTGGGTGTTCCGAAGGTTCATGGTCATTCGCGTGTTCATGAATGTTTGCGTGCTGAACGCGCGAGCGTCCATGTTTGTTCATGTGCGCTCATGTTTGCTCATGATTGTTTATGTTTCTTTCATGGTTGTTCATGCGTTTTTCATGAGCACTGGTTGTGAATGTCGAGGGAGTTTGGTGTGGGGCTCGATAGTTTGACCAGCCCCTTTGACCAGTTTCGAGCTGGTCAAAAAAGCGCGCGACTGTCAGGACCCGCGCGTGTGGTTCTGACATGCGCGTGCGGGTCCTCAGGCCCACGCGTGTGGCTGGGTTTTGTTGCGCGAGGGCACAAGGCCAATGATTGCAACGAGACAACGCACGTTCGCGTGCTGTACAGCACGACCGAAATATCGGTCGTGCATGATTGCGCTTTTGAGGGGTGCGCGTGTGTTTCGGGGGGTGCTTCGGGATTGACTCGAGATTTCACTTATGTAACTGAATCTCGAGCCTTGTCTTTTGTGACGTGGCACAAGGACATTTCGCCAGAAGCTGCGCATTTAAATGTGACGGTTTCGTTACTGGTACAAAACGGTGAAAAACCGTTTTCCAGCTGTACAGTGTGGGGAAACGGAATTTCCACACGAGCATTCATGATTCTACACAGGAATTCATGATCGTTCGCGAGAGGAGTCAGCAGAGGCGTTTGGCAGACATGGAAATTCAAGACGGTTATTTCAAGGATCCAGATCAAGCCAAATGCAAAAGAAGTTTAGAAACTGTTTTTCCAGACAGCAAGGCGAAGTCCTAGGAATGTGCTTAATCCTCCGTTTGCTATTTTCCTTTGCATGTGTGTTAGGCGAAATATAAAATGTGTGCTTGCGTTTGATTGTATCAACTCTTTGTGAATGAAAATTGTTCTATCGACGTATTGACGCAAGGAGCTTTTCTGCACACGCACCTACCGTTCGTCTACCCTGCGCAATTGAGCTTGGGAATGCTCTTAGTGCACACGACTGTTTTACACTTAGAGAAATCCCTCTACAAACACGGACCCTTGGCTAGGGGCTGGCGTTGCCAGGCACCCGAGGACCCTTGGAGGTGACCCCGTGGGGACTATCTAGTGTGTATTAAAGGTGTGCTTAAGAGTTTCTAGATCCCAATAGTAGTCAACAACTTTTGCATCTTCTGTTTTTTTTTTTTTTTGTTCTTCGTAAGTTCCTTATGCATTGGTTTGTTCTGAGCTTTTGTGTGTGTTTGCGTGTGTCTGTCTGATTGTGTGTGTATGTGTCCGTATGCGTGGCATTCGTCTACCATTATCCATCCATGATATCATTAACAATGCATGTCTGTGGTTTTTAGAAATGAGAATCAGTTCTATCATTTCCCAAAGGTTCATTGAGTTACACTCGAACGGGTACGCTCACTTGAACTGGATTTGGTAGGCTGATCTTGTTTTTAGATTTCACAGATTGTGTTGTTTCATGTGATTGCTGATTATTCAATGACTATGCTATTGACTTCCCCCCCATGCTAGGCTGGGGATGCGGTAGCATAGTTTTTGGGTCGTTAGCTATCGCGCATTTTTATCATATATGCATAATGATTTTGCAGTAATAATTGTTATTCATAGTATGCATAACGCATTCACCATACATCATATTATCTATACAATATATATATAATAAAACATGACCTCATCTATCTACATCCATTAATCACCATAGTTATTTCTTCATACTATGTACATATAGTGTGGTAGTAAAGCGCAACGTAGAAAGACAAACAATATAGCGTCCTGAAAATCCCCCCTAACCCATTATAATACGGTAAGGTAGAATTACAAAGTATGTTCTGAAGGTTATGTAGCCTACGAGTGCATCCAGTTTTTTATTTCACATTTTGAAAAAAAATGTAAAAGATGTGAAGAACAAAAACTGGCCCTCAAAATCGATCGTAAAGGGTTGCTTCGCAACCCAAAAAAAAAAACAAGAGGCGACGAAATCGTCTTAGGGTTGCGGAGCATTTTGGATTTATGTACTCATTGTATTGTTGATTAAGTATATGTAGTAAAAATATTGTGCCCATATAATTTTGAAGCACGTCTTCAAATTCTTTATACATTAATTACCGTACGTGATAAAAAGAGAAACTCAATAATAAGCGGGATGTAAATGTACAAAGAAAAACATTCACTTCTTGATGATACCAATCAACAAAGGAATTTAATGTATGTAAAAAATCTGCCCCTAAGTAACAAAACCAATTTACAGCAGCAACAGACTTACAAGAAGTCTGAGTCGGAAAACGGGAATGCTAGGAATTGATCTCGCAACATTACCAGTCGCGACCTCACTTACCACTGGTAAACCATTGTGCTACTCGAGTCGAATATGAGCGTGATTTTAACGATAATAGTCTTAAAACGGAAACTGAATTGTTGACCTCCTAGGGTTTAGAAATTCCTCTTCGTTCTCTGGTTTCTTTTGACAGCAACTCCCCGTCCCGCTGCTCTAGCAAGTGCCCTGCAACTCGTCTTACCCCCGTCGACTCCAGCTTTTTAGGTGAGCAGTCTAGATTTAAGAGAAGTAATCGCTCTATATTAGAGAGAAAGATCCCTAGATCTTGGCGAAAGCATCTCGTGGTTGGTCGTGAACGTACACCTATGATTTCGCTATATTAAGTAGAATCCAGATTGCCACATTAGTCTCTTTCCTTTGTTTAACTCTCTCGCTCGTCCGTCTCCTCTCTCTCTCTTCGTCTCTCGTCCGTTTGCCTCTCTCCCTTGTCCGCCTAACTGCCTTACTCCCTTTTATGTCTATCTCTAGTTTTTTTTCTCAGCTCTACCCTTTTCCATGTTTCTCTGCCACTTCCTTCGTCATTTCCTTCGTTTGATCGTGATTCTTTAACTTTCTCATTTTCATCCTACTCCTCTTTTCTTTTACTCGCTCATCGTCAGTCATATTGAATGCTTCGATATTTCACAGAGTTAGGCAAACGATCATGACTGCCTTGTTCACGCTTTGTGACACCAAATCACTTTCCTAAGTAAACTAGCAATCTAGTACCAGCTTTCTTTTACAGTCCAAGCTAGCATTTTTTTGCTAGTTTATGATGGTACAGTAGAAAAGTACCTTACTGAACCGCTAACTTCTCGAAGTGTGTGTGACTTTCGGTTTATTACGTGTCTTCTTTCCCCGTTTCCTCTCCCTTATGAACCTTTCCGTACATTCGTCTATCTTGTTCGTACATTCTCTTTCCTGTACGCATATTTTGTTCTTTAAATGCGTTGGTTCGTGTTTTGCTCGTCCGTGTGGTTACTTTCCTCTTTGCCTCATACTTACTGTGCTTTCGTTGTTCCTTCTCTCTACCTTACACTTCCGTTCCCTCGCCTATTTTTTTCCAATACCGTTTTCTGTTTCGTTCTTTCTTTCCTCTTTCCTTTATTCATGTTGTGATTTCTTTGTGTCAGAATGTTATTATTGTCTAGCCTGTAGTGGGGTGCTCTATAGCGAGTACAACCCAGTTAGGGTTTGCTATATGTACCCCAACTGCTGCTAGTGAAACCCCTCTCCTTTCAATCATTCTTGCCTAGTCTTGTTGACATGGTATCAGAGCAGGTCGACCCCCTTGGGTCGATCCTGTGGGTGGGCCCGCCACCTAACTGCTTCCGCTGCTATTCTGCTTCTCGCACGCCTCGGGCGCGCGCCGTCTTCTTCCTGCCGTGCGCTCAGGGCGTACGGCGGTTTTCTGCCCGCCGTGCGCCCCGAGGCGCGCGGCGGTTTCCTGCCCGTCGTGGCGCCCCCGGGGACCTGCGCGCTGCCCCCCGTCGTCCTCCTCCCGTCGCCTCGTCGCGGCGCCCTGGGGGCCCGCGCGTCCCCCCCCTCCCGTCGCCTCGTCGCGGCACCTTGGGGGCCCGCGCGCCGCCCCCTCCCGTCGCCTCGTCGCGGCGCCTAGGGGGCCCGCGCGCGGCCCCTCCCGTCGCCCGTCGAGCCGCCCTCGGGGGCCCGTGCGCGGCCCCCCTCCCGTCACCCGCCGTGGCGCCCTCGGGGGGCCCGCGCCCTGCTTCTTCGTGGCGCCCAAGAGCCACCCCGCTGCCTCCCTTTCCCTCCGTGCCCCGCCCCTGCTGTTTCCCGCGCTCCTGCCTGCGTTAGGGTTTGGGGGTGGCGGGCATGGGGGTGACCGGTGTGGGTAACCTGCGGCTCCTCCTCCTCCTCCGTCTCCCACTGCTGCAGCTGCCGCTGAGGGGGGTGGGTGTGTGGGAGCCGAGGGTTTAGGGTTTAAGGGGGGTGCCGTGGAAGTGGAGCTAGGGTGTCAGCAGGGGGTGTGTGAGAGGGGCGTGGGACGGTCGGGGGAGGTTGCGTGGAGGTAGCCGTCGTGACGCCAGCAGCGCCAGTAGTCCGGATGCCCTCGCGCGTTTCGGTAGCCCAGCGAGCCTGCTTCGCCAGTCGCCTGTGGGTCCGTTGCTCCTGTGTGTGCTCGTCGTAGCCGCGGAGCCAGATACTCCCGTAGTCCGGTGCCCTCGTGCGCTCGGTAGCCACTGTGCGCGCCGCTCCTGTTGCCCGTGTGTCTGCAGCTTCAGTCGGCGCCTTTCATCTTCTCGCCCTCACAGTTTCTCCTCCTCCTCACTTGCCCTCTATGATCACCTCTAGCTTTGCTTATAATTGTGAACTATTGCTATGCCTGCTCATTGTACTGATTACACCCCACTTTGGCTATGGGGGTGTGTCAGAATGTTATT